ACACACACACATGCTTACACCAATATTGTATATTAATAAATTTCATATACACAAACAAAAAAGGATGCACCCACACAATGTTTATGTGCTTATATATATAAATACTCTTAGTATCGCTTAGTCCTGCCTCTCGGGTTGCGAGGAACCAAATGCAATGACATCATTCTTTATGCCCAGGGAAAGCAGCATTCCCGTAGGATCTAGCGCCTCTCTGGCCTGTGCAGGAGTCAGTTGCTCCTCTGGAAAGTGCTCAGATTGGAAGTATCCGGTTGCTACCCATGCTGATATGAATGCCTTGCGCGGCACCGACAGCCAAGCACGAAGAGTTCGCTCTGCTAAAGAGGTGCGAGTGTACACCTTGTTGCGAACTGGTTGCCCGCTTGTTCCGATGGGCAATGTATCGTAGCCTTGGAAGGACATGGTTGAGCACAACAGGCCTATGTCATGTCCTAGGGCATGACACCAATATTCTAAAACTACCTCAAAATTCCCGATTGTTCCCGAAACTTCCTCTAAAGCACAGATTCTTTCCTAAAACAATATATATATATATATGGTATTATATATGTATATATGTTTAATTCCAATTTTTTCCGGCCTCTAATTGAAAGCTGTTATTCTTCTCAAATGTCCTTAAACATTATCGATGTTTCCCGATACTTGCTATAAAGCCCTGTGTCATCTACCTCTTCCTAAAGCCTTTAAAACCCTTGTATAATCTTCTTAAATTTCCTTTTGAAATCCTGAATCTTTCCAGAAGAGTTCTAGAAGTCTATAACTATGAACTATGATCCCAAGTATATAAACTATATATATAAATATAAACCCAGATGAGCTACGCGGACGCTCTCGTAAGTCGCTCTCGCAGCTGATCTCTTCAGCATCAACCACCTCCATCCGCGCGCGCAGCAGGTGATGCAACTGATCCACCGGCTGCGCATTCGCGCTGAATCCTCCGGCCTCAGGGGTTCAACCAGGCATGACATAGGAACGAGTAACCAACAAGGGAAGAACCGGTGTTCCTATTGATAAAGTGCACAAAGCGTATACGCGGTACACATGACATAGGCCCTGTACCTGTCCTGGCGGTCTGGAAGGATGCAGCATGCCTGCTTAGACCACCCTTCCCGGGCCGCATCGAGCCCGTTCTTGCACGCATGGAACCCAGTCCAAGCATCACAGAGCAATAAAGCCATTGTAGAGGAAGCCACGCCCAACTTCTTTCTCTGAAGCGACAATGCAGGTGTCAGCAAACCATGGAGGTATACCATAAATGTCTCTGCTGTCATGAAGTGCGAAGAAGTTTGCGATGCAAAGATCATGGCCACTCCCTCATGGGTTTTATTGAATGTGTCCACATCCTCCTGCCGAAGGCTTCCATCAGGGAAGCAAAGACCAAGTGGTCCTGCTGTACCATCGGACCACGAAGATGTGACGACAGTGATGCTCTTTCTGGCATCCGGCACGTAGTCCGATCTGCTGATGACATGACCCTCTTGCTTCTCGCCTCAGGCTGAAAAGAAGCTATATAGTCACGACCTTCTGCCTGTGGCTCCGAAGGGCTATGTCATGTGTCCATGGATGCCGGTGTCTGTCTAGTAAGATCTGGCGCCACCCATAAAAAACCCGACTCCCAACAAAAAGAAAACGGTCAAAACAATTCATAGGCCAACCAGTGCATCCAACTGACGTTGTCGCCCTTTCATCAAAACGGTCTTCGAGAAGCGTAATGATTGTCTCCAGACTTGGTCTATGTTGAGGACCATGAAACGGTGGACATGGTCCTCAGAGATGTGGCGCTGTACACCTGCCCTGGCCGCCTGCAATCTCACATCATCCCATTCCTGACACATGAGAGTTCCACATGTGAGTTCTGGCCATGCTTCCTATTCCTATGTCATAAGTCCTGGGAGGGACATAGAAGAAGTTTGCTGGAATGCAAATCTAAGAAGCCAGGTATTGGCCAGCAGTGTTGCGGGCAACCTTTTTTCCACTGGTAAGCCTTGAGGAATCTCCGAACCCACTTCATATCCAGGTTCTCTGGACAAGCTTGTGGAATCGGAACAAAGGATGAGGACAAGTACTTGGCTTTGACGCCAGCATCTTTGAGATCTTGCATCAGCTTGTTATTGTAATCAATTGCCTTCTGCCGGGCTTTCTCGAGGCCCTTGTTGTATTCTCTGGCCAATCTCCGGACTGTGACTACCTGGAATTGAAGCATGAAGCATACCCATTGATATATACACACATATTTTGATATATATATATATCAACAATATAAACACAACAATATATGTGTTGTGCCCATGACATAGGAGTAATGTCACACAGATTCCTTGCCAGGAAACACAATGTTTTCCAAGAACAATGTCTTTGCGTTGCGCCGCCAAGGAAGACCCCATCGCAAACTCTTGCAAGGTGTTGTTTAGCTCCTGACAGCGGGAGCTGACTACCCGTGCAGGATGTTGCCTTTTTTGTGCACACTGCCTAGGTCATCAGATGCTATATTGTATATATATATATATAGAGATGCTATATTATGTGTGTGTTCACAGTTCACTTTAGTTTCCAAAGCTCTGGTCCTCCAGGATAGCCCCTGGAACGGCCCATCTCTGCACATACCCTTTCTCTTTAGCAGAATCTGAAAGCTGTTGAGGAGTCAATGCTTTCCAGCCTTTCACCTTGCGGGTGAGCCCCATGGATGCTTTCAAATTGTCAGGTAGTTGGCACCACCGTACTTGTTGTGCCTTGGATAGTGACCGCCAACTCTGCTGGTGGCATTGCTTTATCAATGCAGATACTTTTATTCTGCCAAGCTGTGGAAATTTCTGCTGGCAAGCCCGCTGCAAGTTGACACCACGGAGGAAGTTGACCCTCGCGTGATGCTTGCCCGCTGTAGGTTTAGCCTTTCTCTTCCTTCGACCTTGTGAGATAGGCTTCTGGGTCTGCAACAAATTCTCCGCAAAGTCCACAATCTGAACCTTCTGGAAAATGCTGATCCTAGCCGCTCTTTTGACTTTGGGTTCAGCAGTTTTGAATGCCTCATCGAAGGATCTTTTCTTTTTTCTCCTTCTTTGCTCCTGTGCGGGCACGGTTCCGGACATTCCTCAATGCCAGCTGCTGTTCCACTGTGTCTGGGTCAGGATCAAGCTTTGCAACAGCTTTTTCCAATGCTTGGACTGCACGGAGTTTCTTGTTGGTCTGGGACTTCTGCACTAACCCACACTTTCGCTTCATGGTTTCCAATGACCTTAGAGCTTTGGCACTCTTGTCCTGAGTTTGCTTCTGAAGGTAAAAAGCTACCTTGATGACATCGCATGAGGGAAACTCTTCTTGTAGCCACTTGGGATCACCTTCGTCTCGAGTGTTGAGCTTGCCTGCATCAACTGCTAACTCCACCGCTAGCTCTGCCATCAAATGAGAATGCACCTGCTCCTGACCTAGGCCAAGCTTCTGCCCCAAGGCGAATGCAGAGATTTTGCCCAACGCCAAAACCTCTGGAGAGCGTAGGATATTGGAAGTGAAGTCCTGCCATGCTTTGGACATCTCTTCAAGCTCATTGTGCTCGTTGCATTTCTGAAGCAAAGAAGCATGCAATGCATCTTTCATCTGCTCACCTGTCAACCACAAACCCCCACCTCCTATGTCATGTTGCGCGCTCTGGCTCCCTATATAAATTGGAACAAAACAAAAAAGAAACAAATGGTTTTCTCCATGCATTGCCAAACAACAATTGTAGGACTAGGGAAATATTGCATGTGAACTCTGAACTTACACAGCCCCCTGATCCGCCCGCCTTTCTCCTGCTCCATCTTGGCATCTTCAATGCCTTTCTCCACAGTGGTGTCTGAAGCACGCGCTCTCTTGGAAACAGTCTCAGCTGCTAACTCAGCTACCTGTTCTGAATCGCGTTTGCATCCTTTCCTAGGCTCTTGAAAGGGCACGCCTATCTACCAAATAAGAACCAAATATATATATATATATATAGTTTTAACATGAGGTTCTTTCTTCCTATGTCATGCGCCCCCCTTGTACATATACAGAAAGGACAATGTTACAGCATCATACCAAGACGATCCAAGACACGTATCATCTGGAAGATATCGAAAGCCTGACTGGAGTTTGGCATGGGGTCCTCGCGAGACCACTCTTGCCTGCCATGGGTGTCTGCCGAACCACACTTCCTATCTCATGTGCACGGTGCCCATGCTGCAGAAACTTTGGAAGTGAAATCCGCTGATGGTCATGTGTATATATATATATATACATACATGTATGTGTTTTTCTTTCACCTCGAGCCTCAATAGCACCAAAGTCCAGAAACTTCGAGGAGAGCCACTGGTTTCCTTCTGAAAGATCTGCAGGGGCGTTCCGTGAAAGTTTTCCCACGTACAAGCCATCCATGTGGTCAGCAATGCCCACACCAGCTGCAAATAACTGGAGATCAACAGGCCAACTCTCATGCCAAACTAGGCCCCAAAGTTCCAACCCAGTAGCATCCAACTCATCCTTCAAGACCTCTGGATTGAAAAGGTTCCTGGGTCCCAAAATGACCCGGCGAACAATCTTCCGCTTTAGCTTGGGTTTCTTCATCTCCAAAATGCCTGGCAACAAACTCTTGGCATGATTGGCTTGGCTGACATTATATATATAT